CAGTGAGCCTAATTAGACAGGAGCCTAATTAGAGCGGAGCAGGAGCGGTGAGTCATTAGCAGAGCCCTGTGGGAAGCCCCAGAGCAAGGGGCCAAGGCGGCGGGCGCTCGGCTGGGTGCTGTGGGAGGGAAGCAGCCCCAGTTTGTGTTGTGTGCATGGGGAATGCCTCCAGACAGTGACCCAGAAACACAGCCATGGGGGGTTTCCCACCACCCTGCACGGGATGGAGAGCAGAACAGCAGCACACTGTGAGCCCTGGTGCTGATGGGCTCAGAGGGTGTCTGCCCGTCCAGCTCAGGGACGTTAGAAACCAAAAGGGCTTTTCCTGGTGGCCCTTAAGCTTTTTTCCCTTTGTTTGGTTTCTATTCATCCCTTTTAATACACAGCTATCCCCAACAATGACACGGAGCCGGCGTACTGGGAATGGCTGAATGGAGAGGGATCCCTGCTGGGGTGGGAAAACAGAGTAAGTGCCACAGCAACAGGGCAGAATTGAGATGTTTTCTCTGGGCAGAGCCACCGGACCGGGGTTAGGTGTGATGGTGGGACTGAGAGAAGGGCTTCCTATCGGTATTAAACCATGTCCTGGCTGAAAGTGCCAGCAGCTTTCTCACGAGCACATCCTGGACCATTCCTGCAGCCGCAGCTGGGCAGGGAGAGCTTCCCAAGAGAGCCAGAACTGAAATAACACAAATCGTTTGATTCCTGAGCTCTGTGGTCCCTGGGGGCTGCCAGGAGGAATGAAAGGACACATCGGAGAGCCAGGATCAGTCCCCTTGGGCCGTTCCCCTATGGGGCAGGGAGAGGGAAGTGAGATGTCCAGGCGCTGACAGCGTGGACGCCAGGCTTTCTTCCACCTAATTGGATTTGTTACTCAGCTGGGAAGCGCTGAATGGCTTGGATGGGCTCCGGGCTCGTGATTGCAGCAGGGATGATGCGGTAAAGTAGGTCACACTGCTGCAAACAGGGCTGATGGTTCTGCACAACTGCCTGTGGTGTTAAATAAGGAGGTGGTGAAATGGAAAGAGAAGGGAGATTGTAAGGAAGGAACAATAAATGAGCTCAGCCTCTGCTGTTCATTCCCACCAGGAGCCCCCTGCTGCAGGGTCTCATCTCGGGGCACTGGAGCAACAGCGATTGGGCCCAGTTGGTTGTAAGGAGCTGGGAGCGATGGTTTCTCCTGCTTTTGGAAGCTTAACTTCATTTTTTAGCAGCATGGGGTGGCAGTTTGTGAGCCTGGACCCTCTTCAGCACTAAAACCTGCTGGTTTACCCCAAGGGAGAAAGGGAATAGGAAAACAATCTGATATGGGACACAGAGAGAAAGTGTAATGCTGGGGCATTAATTAATGTGCAGGAGATGACAAGCCAAGGACATGAGGCTTCAGTGCTCTGCATAGACATGGATGAATTTAAAAGCAGGTTGGATCGCTGGAAAAAAACACTCCTTCCCTCCAATTATGTGTTTAAAATGCCAGAGCCAGCCTCTGGATGGATGTGGAGCTTCCGCAGACACTGGAGGTATTAAATCACCAGCTACTCTGCTTTTAATTGACTGTAGTGACAAAGGGAGAGTGAGCTCAGATGGTAATTCCCCGGAGGGTTTCATTGCACAATAGCATTATTTCAAGGGCGGCTGGGGTCAGGCTGGGAAAATGCATATTTAGAAATGAAAAAGGCACGATGAGTTTCATTCAAATAAGACACAGGAGCAGCAAAAAAGGGGTTCAGCATGGTCGGTCCCTGCAGATGGAGGTCCCGAGACCTCCTAATGGCAGATGTCTGGTCCCGTTTGCTGCCTGTCTGGTCCCATCTCCGAGCATCTTCCTGCCCTCTCTTCCCATATGCTTTTTGGAGCATGAGAAGCCCCTTGTTACAGTGAACCCAGTGGAGAGAGCCCATGGGCAAGCTCCAGATGAGGCCAGGGGATGGGCTAAAGGGTCTGTGTCCTGTCCAAGCTCTCCTATGAGACTGGGTGGCTGCAGGACAAGGCAGGAGGTAGGAGTGGGAAGCAGTTTGCTGCCAAGCCTGGCTCTGAGCAAGGGCTGGATCCTTGCAGGACCTTGCACCTCGTGAGGATTTCTGATGGGTCCTGGCCCCCCGACACCCAACAGGGTTGTCTGTAGCATGTGGATGTATTCCAGGAGCCTGGGAACACACAGCCCTTGTAGCACTGACATACAAGACCCTTTCCCAAGTGCCCATCCCAGACAAAGCCAATCTTGACCTGCCGCAATGGGGAAAAGGCTTTTTATAGAAAGCAAAACAAACCATGTTGACTTTTCTTCCCCTGCACCTCCCAGTTAAAACCCAGCCCCGCTCTGCCTGTAGCTTTATTCCGACTGTTCCATCTCCTACTCCCCCTTTTGCTTCATTGCTGCTAACCAAGAAACCTTTGTATTTTGCCTCACATTTAATTCCATAGCAACAGGTCGATGCTGTCGCAGCAGCTGCTGATTGCTTTTGAATTGTCTTTCAGGCAAGCTCCAGAATAAATACAAAAGAGCAGGTCTTTGCATGGCTCATATCAAAGCTAGCCAGTCGCAAAGCCTCCCGAGCTGGTATTTAAAGACCCAGAGTCCCACATAAAACCTGAATCAACAAAACTGAAAGGGATTTTGTTCACACACTCCCTTTTCCCCTCTCCTGCTCATCAAACAGTCATTTCTATCCTGGATTGGTTTCCCAAAGGGCTCTTTAATGAGCTTTTTCTATGGAGCTTTACACTCTTATCTGCCCAGATCACGTCGGATAATGCCACTGCCCACCCATCTCCCGCAGGCAAGGAGACGTGTTCCCAGTGTCCTTTACAGCTCAGATATTCAGGCTCCAAATCCCTTTGAGACCACGCATAACTCATAGGAACTTTTGCTTCCCAAGTCCAGTGGCACCTGCAAGTGAGAAGAGGCAAATACCACTTCGCAATGTGGTTGTGTTTTGCTCATTAGCTGCTCTGAGTGATGGTCTCACACTCCCAATCCTGAGTAAAGCTGGAGCTGCTGCTCTCATAGCAGGGAAAAGCCCAGCACCTTCCCAGAGCAGGGCTGGATCAGGCCCCTGCTCCTCTGGGATAAGGAGTGATGCACGTGGAGGAGAAGCGTGACCGGGAGCCCCAGCTGGAAAGCCCATCTTGCCTGTCAAAGGGCCCCTTTCTTGGGAGCTGCAGCAGCCAAGAGAAGGCAAATAAGGAAAACAGAAGCACAAATTCTTCTCATCTTCCTTAGGAATGACTGGCTTTCCCTGCAGGAGTAGCTGTGTCTGGGCTGGGCCCCCTCAGCCCATTTGACAGGTATTAGCATTGCAGACTTACAAGTTCTCCTACAATCACGGCACGGTCAAGTTGAGTGAGAACAGCCGTGGAGAAGGAGACACGTGATGTCCTCAGGACACGAGAAGCCCTGGACTTTATTCCCAGGTCTACCACTAACCTTGGACAAGACACTTGACATTGTGCCTCAGTTTCCCAAGCGCTGAAGCAATCGTAATTACAGCCAGGCTGGTTGCTCAGGAGGTTGGTTGTGAACCGCCCCACCGAGTGCCAACCCTGTTATTATTCCTCGGCCCTGTTATTAAACCTAAATCCAACTTGCTTAAGAATGAAGAGTCTTGTGAAAAACACATAAAACATTTCCCAGACCATCATTTTTATTAAAGTTCACAAGCAGCTGAAGGAAAAAAGAAAATACAAAGACTAGAAAATGTAAATAAACGTCACTCAGAGCATCGCAGACTGGCTGAGCACAACGTGCGCTCCTCCTGGCAGCGCTCACTGCTCCAAAAAGACCTTTGTTGTTTGAAGCTGTGTCAAGGCTTTTCATCGCATTGCATCATTCATCTGGCCAGGCTACAGCTCAACCTAATCCAGGGGCAAAAGGCAAGCCCGGAGCAGCTGCAGGACCAGATCTGCTGCAGAGGGAAGCGGGATGCTAGGACAGGCTGGTCGGGAGATGCATCCGTGTATTGACAGCCAAAATCCACGTGCCTTCCTCATCAGCGTGAATGAGGAGCGACTCGGGCTGACAGCTCTTGCAGGGATAAACCCAAATAAAGTCAGCCAACGTGCGTGGATAACCTGGGGCAGCTACAGCCCAAGCGCTGGCAGGCAACACGCAGTCAGAAACGCTCACATCACTCCGAGGTGAAGCCAGGATGTGCGACACAGTGGGAACAAGGAGGATTCCCACCCTGCCAGCCCTGTGGTGCTCCCCTGCTCTGCTGGCAAGAGGCACGATGCCCCTTCCCAAGGCTGTGTCTGCTCGTGTGCTAATTACCCCTTCACCCACGCTGCTGGGTGAGCACAGGAGCTCAGCAGACCGGCTCTGAGCAGGCAGCTCAGGGTTTATCTGGTGACTATCTCGGCAGCGATGCTGGAGCCTTGGCACACTCCGTGCTCTTCCCAGCAGCTGCATGCAGGGAGCTGCCGGCCCCCGACCAAAGTGAGGGAAGCAGGGAAAGAACATTAATAAGGCCCAACGTGCAAAGCAAAAGGCACCTGCCCTGTTCCACCGCAGCACCCGGCGCTGCTGGCAGCCAGCCCGAGCTCCCACGCTTTAGTGTTTCAACAGCTTTCGCCTCCACAGAGCGGCCAAAGGATGGGGAACCAGGTGCTTTCAACCTCTTTTCCCTTTAAGAACACTTCCAAGTCACTCAAACAGCAGCTACTGCCAATGGCAAGTTCACTGCCTTTGGATAAAAACTATTAATATCTTTTAACCCCCCCAACAGAGCAACGAAAAGCACCTAACAGCTCCCCACGCCACTTGCTGAGGGATGCGGGCTGGTGCGCATCCTCCATCTCCCCAGTCCTGCCAGGCCACTGGTACCCATGAGTGCGCCCGTGCCCGGCACCAGCCTGGCAGCCAGTGGCTCCTTGCTGTCCCCATATCGTTGCTGGTGGTGGGGCTGGGTGGCCCTTGGTGCACCCCTGGTGTGATGCCTCCTGCTCTTGGTGCTGGGAAGGGATGTAAAAGGCTTCTCAGAGTTCTATGCAGGAGGACCGGAGGGGATTTGGTCACTGTGTCGGCTCCAGCAGAGAGACAGGGGACATGGATGTGACTCTGGCATCTGGGGAAGGAAAGAGAAAGGTCATCAGCAGCAAGATGCCTGTGCAGGGAAGTACCAGAAAAGGGTTGCATGTTGGCAGGTATTGGGATAAGCACCACCCTGCAATGGGTGGAGGTGGAAAGCAGGTGGTTTATTTGGGATTTGGGATATGCTTTGCTTTTGTAGGAAAGAGGGGAGAGTCAGTATTCGTCTGTGGAGGGCTCAGAGCACTGGAGGCAGCCAGGAAACTTCTGTGGACATAAGGGAATGAAAAGTTGAGGAAAAAGGAGTTTCAGCTTTTTATTTAGGGCAGGGAGGACAGTCCAAGAACTGGAACAGACAAAACAAAAAGACTTTTCTTTCCTCTTTTTCCGCTGGTTCTTCCAAACCCATCCATATGACTGACTTTTCCAAGGGGTTGATTAATCCGGTCTGGGGCCAAGCTCAGACTGCACGTTTCCATCTGCCCAGGGTTAGGGAAAGCCTGATTTTCATCGACTTTCCTCCCCAGGCCAGCCACTCCCTCCCAATGCTGCCTGATAAACTGGCTTCAGACACAACCAGCCAAAGGAAAGAGCAGCAGCAGCAAAAAACTGCAGTCCCTGTTTATCCAGCCTCACTATTATACACATGCTAATGGGTTTCCCTAGGAGCCACCAAGAGAAACCAGCTGTGACTTTGTTCCTGTAACAGGTTGCAAGGAACCAACCCACCAGCACACAGGTGAGCTTCAGTGATTAGGATCCTAATTATCCTGAGGGGTTTTTAAGCCCTGCTTGCAGGCACTCAGGGCTTTTGCAAGGGAAGATGCCTGGCTGCAAGCAGGGCTTTGTGGATGGAGCTGGGACTGATGCACAGCAACAAAACCCTGAAGCTTCTGGAGAGGTAAGTGCTGACCAAGTGTTGTTCTATGTAGATGGGAAGCCAAACCAGGCAGCAGTAAAATCCTCCTAGAAAAGGCTTGTTATCTAAGCTGTAATTGAATAATGAGGAGAAGTCACTGAACACATCCAACATTCAGCGTGACCGCAGTATCAGAATGCAGCTCTGGGCATGGCTTGCTGCCTAAAGCCTTGCAGGAGCTTTGGAGCCAAGTTCAGCTTTAAGGTGCCACAGCAGCATCAAAAACCTACAGCCTCTACTGCTTGGTGTGCACCCAAGGGCAGGTACCAGCAGCTGGTGCCACGCCATAGCCCTCACAAGAGCTTAACCCACTAAAGGGCTCCTGTGGGAGCCATGAAATAGGCTCTGAGCGCTTGGACGAGCCCCAGGAACATGGTGCCTGAGCAATGCCTAACCACCAGACCCCATGAGGAAGGTCCTGCAGGAGCCAAAAAGCACCAGGAGAACCCCTGGCTCCTACCTGCTTCAGAGTTAGGCTCATCCCCATTTGTTTTGAGATGGGAGCTCCAACATCTCCACCCCAGGGGGGTGTTCAAGGCTCAGGAGGCAGCACAGAGGGATGCAGAGACTCCCCTCTCCATTTCATCTTCCCTGGCTGGACCATGCAATCTGCAGCTTCCTCGTCCCCAGCAACCATCCCAATGCCCAGCTGATGGCTCATCTCTCTGGACTAAATCCATCTGTGACTCTGCCCCATGACAATGAGAGCATCACACAGGACTGGTAGTTTGGAGAAGCCACATTTAACTTGGGGACAGGCAGCTTGGAGAACCGGTTCCTGGCACCACCTGAATCCCCTCCTGGGAGGTGCAGAGCTACCCCCATCAGTGGTCCCTGCACAGGACTGAAGCAGTGACCACCCAGCATCACCCCAAGCTCTTGGCTGGGCTTTGCTTGTTCCTATGAACACAAAAGAGTCTTTATTAGCCAAGTGCTCAGTACTTTATTTCCCTTTTGGAAGGATTCACCTCCTCGTGGCTCCAGCTCCATAGGTGGGAAGAGACCAGGCTTTCATGTTGCATATTGCTAATCATGCTTGATCCCTGGTGTTAACTGCAGGTAATAGGCAATAAATTAATGTCTCACAGCATCCTTAGCAGGGAGCCTGGGACCTCTGCTGAAAGATGCCCCAGCTGCAGCTGGGAAGGGTGAAGGCCATGCCCTCAAGGAAGCACTTCCAGCTGATCAGCTTCATGCATTAAATGAAAAGCAGGCTTGCTGTTTTATGATCCACATTTGTCAAGGATGTATTATTTAGGTTTCAGGGCTGGTGTGAATGGAACCTCACCAGTTTATAGGTAAGAAGATTGGGTTTTTTCAGGAGTACAAAGTACTATTTCCTTCCATGCAACTGCCCAGACCTTCCCCTACCAACCCAGTTTGCTCTCCTCTGAGGGCACCTTGGATGGTCCCTCCTGAGCCTTCTCCAGCTGAGGCAGGTTTCCCATAGCATTAGTATTCCCAAAGCACACCAGAACCTGGGCATGTGCTGGCTAACCTGCCTTCTTGAAGAACGATCCCATAGTGACTAAAATGCATGTTACAACAGAGACCTTGCACAGTGGGAGCTGCAAGCCAGAAGATCCCTCAGCCAGACATGCTACAGGATGACAGTGTAGTTGTAGGATCCTATAGCCAGTTACCCCAGTTTCTAAGCCCAGTTTTGGTACTGGTGCAGCCAGGACAGCCATGGCTGGTGAAGTATGGGCAATGGGAGACATCTGGATCTGGCCTTCACTTACCCATCTCAGTGCTTTATTTAAGGAGCTGTCACAGTGTCTGGGGCCATAAAAGTAACTTAGCTTAAAAAAAAAACCTAACAGCACAAAATCTCTAGAAACTGACATGAAGAAACATTGTTTGGCAAGAACTCATGTATATTTTAAATACTTCTTTTAAGTGGAGAGTGGAAGCGAAGCCAAAAAAGCACATAAAACCCTCACACAATGACTTTTCACCAGTTTTATTTGCAGGTTGGCATAGTACAGTTCCTGGTTTTCTTGTGCTTGTGCCAGACTCCAGACTACAGGGGGGGAAAAGCTATCCATACAACCCCCACAAAGCTGTTTATTTGGTCTGGAGAACCCAAATAGAGTATAGAGGGGAAAAAGGTAGGAGAGGAGAATAAAATCTCTGTGACTTTGGAGACTGCTTTTTATTCGGTGGCTGAAGAATCCACTCCCACCTTGAAAATATTCCCTATTCTTATTCCCAGCAGCACGGCTGGTGTTGAGCTTTAATATTCAGACACATCTGCTACCAGAGAAAATTAATTTTCAGCTCCAGGATGGCTCTTAAAGGGAGGTCCCATTGACCCGAGTTGAAAATGATGGAGTCCTCACACTCTTTGCTGCAATATTTAATAGCTGAGTGGCAGTTAATTAGATTACCAAGCACTGTGACAGATGCTAAGCAACGCCTGAGGAGGAGAATTTGGAAAGGCCATTATCTTCCAGTGCTGGGAAAGCTCTTGGGGATCGCATTTTAACCCTTTCCACTCTTGCCCTGCCCTTGCTGTGCTCCAACCCATGATAAACCCAGGTGTTTCATAAATCAAAGGCCAGCATAATGCTCTGGATGCTTTCCCCCCCCCCCCCCGCCCCGGACCACCGCGCACGATCGCTGG